ATGTCAACACTTATTCTATACTCATCTCTTTCTGACTTCAAAAGAGAAGGCCTCCCTGCTCCTACAGTCACAAAATGAAGATGCCTGTCTCTTCACAACTGTTGATATCACATTAGCAAGTGACTTCTTTGCTGATCAAAACAATTATTCAGACATCATCAGGGATACACATAAATATCTCAAAAATATAATATTATCTCAAAAAACTATGTATTAATGATATTCTAAACTCAAATAATATACAGTAGATTTAAAAGGTGAAACTTGCAAGTTACACACATCTGTGGTATTTATCTAAAGGGTCGAGTTGCCAGCAAGAGCGGACTTTGAATTCCTCTTTACTGGACATTGGTTAATTTGAAATATGATCATGTACAACCACAGGTCTCAGGAGCCAAGCAAAGGTCAGGGCACAAGAGACTGCAGAGACACAATATAAAACAGTATATCAAACAAACCTTCTTTCTTGCTTAACTTTATACTTTTGCAATCAGAGCTAAGCAGTCAAAAATTATCAATCATAAAACACAGGCCATCCATCCATCGTCAACCGCTTATCCTGCGTACAGGGTCGCGGGGGCTGGAGCCAATCCCACTGACATCAGGTGATAGGCGGGGTACACCCTGGACAGGTCGCCAGTCCATCGCAGGGCCACACACAGACAGACAACCACTCACGCTCACACCTAAGGACAATTTAGCGTCACCAATTAACCTAGCCTGCATGTCTTGGACGGTGGGTGGAAGCCGGAGCACCCTGACCTTCTTTCTGTGAGGCGAACTGCTGCACCACTGTGCCGATAAAACTCAGGCCATCAGAGTTAAAGCATGTTACTATATGGCTTGTATATGTGTAAGGCAGTCAAACAGTATCTATAAGGCCCCCCAAGTCCTTTTCTTCTCACATTCTCACTCACACAACACAGGTAAGAGAGGAAGAAATAATACAGAGTTCAGGATTTACATATTTTACTTCCTCTTTCAAAGCAGCCTAACTCATGAAGTTACCTTATATTCATTATTTGTAACTTGATTCCAGTTCCATGTAACATTATACAGGGAACAGAGCAAAGATCAGGGGAGGGTCACCCCAAAAAAATCTAGATCATGAACTCTGAACTGTATGTGTTCACTAAGGGGAAATATTGGCCTATAAGTAGACTAGATGAAAAATCCCAAGTTCTCCAGAATGGAGGTCATGAATATTCATTTTAGTAGCATTGGGGATGTCCGAGATATCTTTCCCTGGACCAGGATGGAGGGTGATTTCTTCCCTTGTAGTCATTTTGGTTTAAAAAAATCTTATTGGCAAAGTCAGACTTTGATTGTATGTTGCAGACACTAATTGCCACACAGAGAAGTCCAGTCAGTCAAGTATGAAAACTGCTCTATCACCACTGTGGGTGAGTTGATTTGGTTAATGTGTGAATTGTGCTGCACCACGAAAACCCAAAGTTAAAGATCAACAAACATTGTTTGTAGTATAGCCTGTTATTAGTTGTTAATACAAGAGCACGCTGTAAACTGTTTAAAATCCATATCCAGCCACTAAAAGATGCAAATTTCTTTTCAACCAAAAGCAGAAGTTCATTTCAAGGCCGTGAGTGACAGACTCAGCTAAACAGAGGAAATAACCAAGAGGATGTTCGCTGTTTGAATAACTGTGGCACTTCTCATCAAAGAGTCACATAGAACTCCACAGAAGGACCTGAACGATGGCCGAGGGGGAAGTCAACTATGCCTCAGTTATATTCAAAACTAACAAGCTTTTCCCACCGGAAGGTATGTTTAGTTTTAAAATTTCTATTTTGTCTGTCTTTGTTCAAACATTTCTACGGATGGTGCTTAGGGTGATGAGGCAGCATCATGTCATCCAGGATCTGTATGTGATCATCCTCATGTGCAGTGGTGATTTCTTGCACTGTAAAAGTAGAAAATGAGAGAAGAGTTGCCTTAAACAAGTCACTAAACCTAACCCAAGACTCTAAACAAGCGAGCAAAGGAAAGCCTGCACATCCAGCCCACATCTGAAGCAGCTGGAGGCCTCGTTAGTAAAATACCACGGTGAAGTTAGTTTTAGGTTGGATATTCGACAGACATTCACTCAGGATCCAGTTGTGTCTTCTTAATCAGTTTCGCAGTGTTGGCAGAATTTGAGTCCTTTTACCAACTGGACTGGTCCATTTCAGTTATTTGATAATTATGGTAAATAATTATTATAAATATTAGTAAATGTCATACAGAATACAGTTCAGGGAAAAACACTGAATAACTTTTCATCCTAAAGGAAGATACTGGAACAAAAGCAAACATCACCGGGTTTTTATTTTTATTGTAATTAAAAATTTAAAATGTGAGAACTTTACAGATATTAACCACGAAATTGTGTTCTTCAATCTTTCAGCTAAAAAGGAGGAGGAAACTGTGTACAATGAAGTCAAGGTGCGAAGCCAAACAACCGAAAAGACTGCTGACACAAATAGTAAGTTGTAAGAAAAAAAAAATTTACACAACATTTAGTATTACTGCAGCTGAGAATATTTCTAATAATTAGTGCTAAAATGCTACCTCTCCTTTACCGTTATTACAACCATTAAAAGGGAACTAAAAGGGGAGTCATGAGGAGTACTGCTGAGCCTGTGAAAACAGTAGGAGCTTTGTTAATAACCTTCAGTTTTAACTTGGAGGCTGCAAATTTCAAACAAAACCTTCTAAACTGGGGGTGTGAAGTTTAAAAAGATGTAACCCTGTCCCAAACCGGGAAATCAGTGTTCCCCAGAAATTAATGAGATCACGGCAGCCCGCCATAGTCTAATTCGCTCCGCCATAGTTTCAAAATGAGCCGAAAATATTTTTTACACATCTCATAATAACATTTCAGACAACTAACGTTGTCTTTTGCACCTACTGCTCTGTGCTACTGTAAGCTCGCATGCTTTGGCATTCGACTCGAGACAACCACTTTTCTTTTGAGGTAACTACGGTAACGTTAAAGGCCTGTTTCTGTCACTCGTTTGTGAGAAGGCGATTAAGCTAGCCGCGCCTACATTTGGAGTGCACATGTATTAAAGCCTTTAAGGTAAATCCAGTGAAACGGACCAGAGCGAGCTGACAGGCAGGTCAGCGACTTTATCCTGTCAGTTTGTCTCTTTACAAAGACAAGTGTTCGATACGATAGATATGTGACAATGCCCGGATTTCAAAATAAGGCGTCTATACAGGATGGAAATAAGATTAATTGTACTAAATTCACTGAAAGCATAAAACATATTACATGTGTCCATTAAAACTTAAAACTTACAAACTGGGGGTTGTGGAGTTTAATAAGACATCAGTCTTTCCCAGGCATTCACGCTCTAGTGAAAAGATCCCTTTAAATTGAATCATGGGATAATAAGACATTTATATCACAAGTTTTTCTTTTTTAAATGTGTGTCTCCCCAAGACGAGTGTTTTACAAGTGCTTCAACTGCAACATTCATTTACAACTAATAATACTACATAAATACTGCTGTTACTACCACCAACAATTTTTACATCTTAAAACAACAATCAGGTGCCCATGTGAATATTGAACCATGTTTTGCTGCCTGTAATCATTCCTCCTGTTTGTACTGACCATTAAGAGATCTCTTTGTAATGTGCTTTGAATGTAAGAGAAAAATAATTACAGTCTTTGTTCTGTATAGAAATGTGTTTCAAAGTTTATCTGAAGCTAGTATGAGCCTTTGGTAGTCTGAGATAAATCAAGTGGTTCATTTCCTGTCTCCTACTCTTACTTTTTAATATAAAACAGAAGGATTTTTGTAATGAAAATACTGTAACTTTGAAAGATCTCGTCTTCATAACTCAGACTGGTTATATTTACAGTATATGTGTTGTTTAGTCTCAGCAGGACTTTTGCCAGACCAGAAAACAAACAGCAGAGGTCGCTGCTATCAGCAGGTGGCTTGTTGTTTGGGGATTCTTTGTGTCATTTTGCTGTTGGGCATCATAGCAGTCTGTGTCTACAGTAAGTATGCAAAACAGGTAGTCTATGCAGTACCTCAGACTCAGACATGAGGCAGAACTTGAAGAATAACAGCACCAGTTTTCCTCTGTAACATCACTATAACCGTAACCAGAGGATCTATTAACAGGCTGTTTTACCTATAGATCTCTGCCTCTAATTGTTTTCTAAATCTATTACAAAGTTAATTTCTGCACAAAATAATCAATGTAGAAATGTATGCAGACAGTAAATAAGTCACAAGACTGTTCTTGTTTGTGCAATTTTTATTGTCAACAACAACTACAACCATTTATTCTACATTCTGCCTATTGTAATGTACAGTGCAACCTGCTCTTGGGTTTGTCACCATCAAGGACAACATTGGGAAAAAAGGGTGGTCACAGAATTATTGGAAAATATAGACATGTATGCATAAAAGGGATTACAGGATGAGTCAAATTGTATTCTATATTTTTGTTATTGTCAGTATTTATTTTTATTTGATCAGACCCAAACCATCAATGAATTGATGCTACTAACAGTATATCACATTGTATTAAAGCCTGATATATCTTATTCCTCCGTGCCACAGAGCTCCAAAGTTTGTATAAACTATTAAAAACACATCAGTGAACCAGACTTTTGCACTGGCTGACATGTTCCTTCACAACAATGAACACGACCACTATCTTCTTTCGATCGTCCTGCTGCCATAAAGGCCTGCTAGCACACGGCTAGAAACAAATACACTATTTGATTCATTTTTACTTACAATTATAGTACCTAGTTCTTTTAGGCAATGTCAAATTCAAGGCTTCAAAGGGCTTGAGTAAAATGGAAAACATTTTTTCATGGGATTTCTTGATTTCATAATTTTCAGAAACATAATGAGTGCACTCCCAAAAAGCTAGAAAAAGTAACACAAAGCTTCCAAAAATGGGAAAATGACAAAGACAAAATTTCATTATTACTATCACTTAAGAAGAACATTTTCCATTTGCAGTTGCTACATTAATTCATGAAAGTGAGCCGAACCAGCTGAAAAAAAACCAAATGATTCTACTGGCTCTCAATGGAAACCTGACAAACCAGAACAACAAACTCAGCTCAGAAAATGAAAACCTGAGGGGGGAACACAACAATCTGACAGTCCAGTTGGACAACCTGACACAAGCCTATACTGTCTTAAAAAGTAACATCACAAACCTGTCTGCAGAAAACCAGAACCTGACATCACAAAACACCAAGCTGTCTGCAGAAAACCAGAACCTGACATCACAAAACACCAAGCTGTCTGCAGAAAACCAGAACCTGACATCACAAAACACCAAGCTGTCTGCAGAAAACCAGAACCTGACATCACAAAACACCAAGCTGTCTGCAGAAAACCAGAACCTGACATCACAAAACACCAAGCTGTCTGCAGAAAACCAGAACGTCACATTACAAAAAATGAAGCTGGAGTCACAGAGGAACAATTTAACGGAACAGATACGGAACATGGAGACAAAGTGGAATGAGCTCAACGTCAGTCGAGCTCAGTGGAGCATTGATGCCTACTGCCCAAAACCACAAAACCAAAGTATGTTCAGATCCCATAATTAAAGTAAAAAATAATGATAATTTCACAATGCAGTAATGTTGTTTATCGGTTTGTCTCTGTTGTTTCAGGCAGAACGTGTAAAGCTTGTCAGGATGGCTGGTTACCCTCCCAGTCCAGCTGCTATGGGATTAATAACCCTGATGTTTCTGGTCAGAAAACCTGGGAAGAAGCTCGAGAAAACTGCAGAGGAAAGATTTCAGATTTGGTTGTTATAGCTGATCAAACGGAGAAGGTAATCTTCAGTAAACTGAACATTTTTCAATCTATAAATTGAATATGTATTCTCTGTAGGTCTGAACACACTGAGTCTGTAGGCCACAGTGTGTTAATTTAAGTATAGTGTTTAAATATCTGATAACTGTCTCTCTGTTGTCAGACATTCATCAGTAATAACAGTTGGGGCAGTTCAGGAACCAAGGGATACTGGATTGGTCTGAGAGCTGAAGATGGGAAATGGAAGTGGGTCGATGGAAGTGTTCTGACTGAAAAGTAAGAGACACATTCATAAACATTTTGAAGCATAAAATCTATCAGCCTGCATCTAAACATCATGTTCTTCCCTCAGCTCCTGGATACAACAACCTGCTACCAACGGTCAGTGTGTAATTTCTGTCCAGAGAGAAGGATGGAAATCAGTGAGCTGTGGTGCCAGAAACAGATGGATCTGCAAAAAGAAGGCTTTATCTCTTTAAACACTGCAGTCATACTTGAGAAGGTTACTGGGGACTACGAAATTGTGTTCTTCACAAGTAGTTGATGATGCTACCACATCAACAAAACAAAAATGTATGCCAGTGCACCGCAGAGTACAGGATAGGTAGATTTCTGTTAAAATATGACTCATTAGATTGAAAGTATTATAACTTTATTTTTAAAATGCCAGAGGAAAGATAGGTAGGAGAGATTTTGAATGTGCAGAAAGTTTTGAACATGAACAGAAAACCTGCTGAAACACAAGAACTAATAAAGTTCAGGTGTTTATAAATGAATTTAATTAATTAATGTATCATTGAGATGAAAACGTGCCACATGCTAATTTTTTTAGCGATTACTTCCCCAAACAAAAGACAGAAAAGAGGAAGGAAGACTAATTTAAAGCTCTCGCCCTGCTATATCTCCTTTTAGTCCCATACACACCAGCAGTCTGCAGTCTGTTCCACAGTCTCAACTGAAAACTAAAGGGGACAGAGCGTTCGCAGTCAGGGCCCCGAGGCTCTGGAACAATCTTAATTGTTTTCTTGCTTTTATCATGTATTTTATGGCTTTTATAGTCTTTGCACTTGTCACAGCACTTTGTAGCTTGTTTTTGAAAAGTGCTTTATAAATAAAGAAGAGCTTGGTAAATAAAAAGACTACTTTTGTTAACAAGGCTGACATATTGTTCCTGGGCTGACAAGAGTTTCTGGGAGCTTCAGTTTCCTTCCACAGTCCAAACACACACATGTCAGGTGACCTAGAAAACATAATTTGCTCACAGGTTAAATATGTTTGTGTGCTTGTGTTTTAACCTGACATCCATTTGTGAACTGTATTGATCCAGATCTTTGTGGGATATTTGTGCACAGGAGAACCTCAGACAAACCTTGATAAGACTTATATAAAATACTGAAAACTGTATATTTTGGTTTTGTGTTGATTCTGTATTTTGACACATTTTCAATGGTTTTCACAATATTTTGTAAATTATACACTGATTTATGTGTACATGTACTGTATGTCAAATGTATTCTCTGTAAATGATAGAAAAAGGGATGGAGATCAATGTGTGGATTTGTTTGCTGACTGAGAGGGTTTAGAAAAGAAGCTGCATGAAATCATAAACTAACTGTGAAATGGATGTCAGTACAGTGCTTAAACTGATACTTTTTGTTATAATAGCTGGGACAGTTATGGCTCCTGGATTGGCAGGAGAGTTGAAGCTGGACATTTGAAGTGGATAACATTTCCAATTTACTTTCTGTTTTTAGCAGCTCTTTGTGTCCCTGATTATTTTAAAATTGCGTTAAGAATTGTGTGTTTAAAATGCCTGGTCTGAATCCCTCCCTCCCTCAAAAATTTAGACCAATTACCTTTTATATCAAAGATTTTAGAAAACAATAAGCAGACCGGGCTCAAGGTTAACAAGAGCTTCCTCTAGAGGGGATTGTTGTGTTAAGTTTCGGTCTACGAGATTTGGAAAAAACTGCTTTTCAGTAAAGGCAGCTGGGATGTGGAATTCCTTACCACTGAGTGTAAGAGAATGCAGTACATTCAAAAATTTTAAAGGTAGTGTGAAAATATGGTTGAAGGACAATCAGGTATGTAGTCATTGAGCTATGAGACACTGAATGTGGTCAATATGTTTTTTACTGTGTGTATGGTAAAATTCTTGTAATGACAGTATTTTTTATTTAATTTGGATTTTAGGTTTGGTATATTTGAGTTTGTTTTTAGTTTGTTAGATTTGGCTTATTTGAATTGGTTGGCATTTATCTATATATTTAAGAAATGTAAGGTTTGGTTTTGGGATTAGTGTTTATTCATTTACTTTTACTTGTTTTTTTATTGTAATATTTTGCACGCTATTGGCACCTGCCCAGGGACTGCAGATAGGAATTAGCTTTTAGCTAAATCTGGTACAGTACATATATTGTGCATTGTTCCTGTTAACTAAATAAATAGTATCCAAAGAACTGCTCTGCACACTGGAAAATAACATATTTGAATAGTTTCAATCTGTTTTCTCTCTGGTTTCAGTCTGATAGAGCCACCTTCTGGTGGAGCTCATTGTGCAGCTGGAGATCAATAAGGCCTCCACAGTTTGACAAAATTATACTGGAATCCTCACATTGCGACTGGCGTCACATCATGTAAAGGGGCTCAAGCTGGGTGAGGACATTAAATATAAACTGGTGGAAATAACTTCTATTAACATATCGTATTAGTCATAGGCCACTAGAATCTGCAGATTTCTGACTTTGCTCTCCTAATGGCAGCATCATAAGAGACACTGCGCAGGCAGCAATGCCCAACACCAGACTTCCCTTCACAACAACATATTATCCTCCTAAGTTGAAACAACATCATTGACAAAACCTGAAAGTAGAAGTACACTAAAGAGCAACATCAGCGACACTTTGCAGCTTGAGACTTTCCTTAGAGCCGTCACACAGGACTGCAGCAGGATTTTAAACATTTGTTCAGGATGAACAGAAAACCACAGAAAGCAACTTTAAATAAATCTACTGTTCTATTACCTGCAAGTAAGACATTTACTACTATGTATTACTAAGTATTTTGTCAATTTTGTTGGTCTTTGTTTATGATGCTTCTGATTCTTGACAACACCTGAGCACTGTACAGAATTTAATGTTTCTTTATCTGCTGGAAGAATACTTTCTAATAAAATCTTCCTCTGATGCTTTGCATGACTTTTATTGCGTTGAAATTGATTATAAAAGACATATTTTGAATCACAATTTATCCAGTGTGTTCGACGTATTCACGTCTTAATGTTATTGTCTTGTACAGTGATTTTGAGTACCTATAAAACAAATAAATGTGACAAACACAAATAACAAATAAAGTGTATTATTATTACTGTGGGAGTGACTCTAACAATTCGCCTTACACCCACACAGCAAGGGTAAAGTATTTTACGCAAAATATAAGCTAACGGGCGGATCTGATACCTGCTGAGGTGACAGCCAGCGGCCTGCTTACTTTAGTTAAACAAACCCTAAATAAACCAGATAAACACTCAAACTGCCTCTATGTAGACTTGATAAAAATGTAGCCTACATTAACGAAACAAAGTCCATATCAATAATAATAAATAATCAGCATTAGGGCTATATAATAATAGGCTATATAAAGGATAGTCCATATAATAATCTGTGATCACACCACAAACCGCTGTTCCTCACAGTTCATTTTTTACATGTGAAGGAAAAAACAATACACACAAAGCATGTTCACCATCACATTAAAAGCTGTAAGGGAGACCGGGTATGGTTGTAACACTTTTTGCTTCAGTAACTATAACTCACTGAATTTTGTAGCTAGAGTTCTCAAATTTTTATACAAAGTACCCACATTTGTTCACTACAAATGGAATCAATTCAGTCCTCTACAAGGATATCACAGACCTCGTGAGTTGATGTCAAATGTAATGTGTTCCCTTGTTACAACCTACCCCAATAGCGGGGTAGGTTGTAACAATCACACAAAAGAATCAAAAATAGATGTCATACTATATGATAATCTTCCAAAACTGGTAGTTATATCAAAGAACAATGTTTCTCTCTTGCTGTAACAGACTTTGTCTGATGACTCACGCGTATGTACCAGTCTGTGTATGTAAATTTATCTATAGAATAAACTTATTTAAAAATATACTAAATAAATACTACTACAATGTAATTAATTAAAGAACATCTCTGTACATCCTTAGGTCTAACTAAAAAGAGGTGTGTGTGTGTGTGTGTGCGTGTGTGTGCGTGTGTGTATAATCTTATTCAGAGTCACAGTCAGTGCTTGAAGAGGCCAGTATTCACCGATACAGCAGCACTTCTATATTTTACTCTTTGGCGTACTGGGACTTTTTCCTGCACACAGGCACTTCTCACAAGCTGCCTATACACTTTTCTACCCTCTCCACCAGCGGAGACCGAGTATGGAAAAGGTCGAGTGGCGATACACACGCCAACATGTGTACAACATGTGAATGGGGAGTACTGGTCACAGTGCTGACAAATTAATGCTTGTAACCCAGGAGTGCGGGTTTGGTGGACCCAGACTGCATATGGCAATCTGGAAAATATTAAAATCAAGAAAGTCCCTAGTTTTATGTATAGAGGATGGTTGTAACACTTTTTGAAGTCCATGTGCAATAGAATTCTTATATTGTTATTTTATAGTTATAACAACACTTCCAATGTCTTAAATCTGCAGCTAAAATGAGATGCCAGATAATCACGGCAACTCCGACAGAGAAGAAGTTTCTTGGTCAGCTAATTATTATTGGAAAATGATGTAGGATACATTAAATAGTGAGTATGTTTCACTAAACAATCAATCAAACTTTGTACAGTTTGTCTTTTCTTATATTAAATATCATGTTCTATATTTTAGCATCCTGGACTGCCATATCAAAGAGAGCTGTCAACCAGACAGGAAAGCTGGAATCAACGATGAGTGGGTGAAGGATTACCTGTTCAAATCTCCTCCAGTCTCCTGCCACCTGGAGATCAACGTTGACCGGGCCATTTATGGCCAGGGCCGCTTCAGGTCCTTTACATTCCAGGAAATGTGGCAGTGGTACAGCCTTCACAAGCACCTCCAAGCTGACCCTCAGGCTGGGAGTGACCATGAGAGGAAGATGGCTCAGGAGGCTTTCTCCTCTGTTCGACAGTGGCTTGTCATGAAGGAGGACGACATCTCTTCAAAGTTGCTGAAGCGCTTCAGACTCTATATGTCAATATAGAATATGTATGTATAAGCAGGGTGCAGTTCATAAGAGATGCCTCAAACCTGTACTTAAACTGTACTTTACAGAAACCTCAGCAGAACGTGTCCCCTCCCGCGGCAACCGCCACGTCGTCTAGCACTGCCACCACGTCGTCCAGCACTGCCATCACGTCGTCTAGCACTGCCACGTCGTCCAGCACTGCCACGTCGTCCAGCACTGCCACGTCGTCCAGCACTGCCACAGCCACAGACCGGCTGAATGATCAGCCGTAAGAGTTGTAGCAGTAACTTGTCAGTGTTTTGTCCGGTCACCAGCCCACGTCAAATAAAACAGTCCCTTCACTCATGGTTTCAATAGTCATAGGAATGACAATTACCGGCAAAAAACATTATATTCTAACCAGAAACATTTAAGAAAACGTAAATTACAAAGCATCTTTTGTATTTCATACAAATAGAAGGTTTTTCAGTAATTTTTGACAAAGCTCCAGTCGTGCTATGACTCACGGGATGTCTGAGGGACGGCCTTTTACGCTGATAGGCTAAGGTCCTCAAATTCTGCTGGAAGCCATGAGAAACATACTCACTCTAGTGTTTTGCTGGCAACATCTTGATTATTAGCTAGTAAACAAAATACTTCAGATGTGATACGTAAAAAACAAATGTTTCAAATGCATGCTTGGTTATTTTTTGTTCGCATTCCTCCTGAGTAGCGACGTCACTGATCGAAGGGGGGGCCCACCCCCCGCAATACGGGGTGACCCCTGGATTCCCCCGTTTGAAAAGAGAGTAAACCAAATGCATTTCCTCCTGTGTTTAAACATGTATTTAGGTTACACAAACAGTCCAAGCACTTAACAACGATGTCGATGAGTTAAAAGAAATAGTCCGTAACTTGTTGTAAACAATAAGGAAATAGACTAGTGTTATTTTTCGTTCTTGTTTTAAACTCCACCTGTATGGCAGCAGGGGGCTGTAAAGCCCTGTGGGTGATGCAGAACAGGGGTCTCAATTATAAAAACGTGCCCAGAAACCTCACTAAAGTGTGCATCCAAAAGACAAAATGGCTTATGCCATAAAAAAAAATATTCAGACTTATAAGCTTGTTCCCTTTATGAATCACAATCAACTTGAAATATGGCCTATGTGAGGAAGCACCATAGCCGATCCCTTCAAACGCTTGCAACTGTCTATAAATGGTTAGTGGAATCAATATTAATACGTACTGGCTGTGGGAAGAAAAGGATGCAAACTCTGACAGAGCATCAGCGAAATTTTTGTTGAAAAGCTTCTGCGTAATTTCTCTCTTATGTCCTTTGATATAAAAGAAGGGTAGCGTGTCAATGCACGTGTGAGGTTGTTTTCTGCACCATTTGTCTGTATATGCACAATATACACGTTTGTATAGCTTTTTGTCGCAGTATATCGTATAAATAATAAGCTACGGTTACCTGTATAATACCGCTAGCAGTAGTCTTAGGAGATGTGTCCTTGTCGCAACAGTCCAGCATATCCAAACAGGCACCCTTAAACGGCTTGACCCTGCTCTTGTCCTCTTCTGCTTTTTCGTCAGGAACGAGAAATGTTAAATTTCTTTTCCCCAGTTCTTTGCCATAGTCATCCACCCATGAGTTATCATCGCCCCATAGTAATGGAAAATATTTAGGGCTGCTCGATAGACCCTCACCCGCTGCACATGTCCTCGTACCTGCACAAAACATTTTAATTAGAACAATGTCACCGTCAGCCCTGTCGTGGAGGTCTTTGAGGTTGTCTGCGGTGTTGTTTGTTGTTCATCTTGCTTGTCCTCAGGACCAAAAAGTTTTCTTTTGATCCCTACATAGCTAACATAAGGTTTATACCCTCTGAATAATTTATCAATGTGCGAGAAGTTTTCAAGGGTTCTATCCCATTCTCCCCACTGGACCACAAAGCCGGTGCTGAACCACGTCTCCCACTCCCACGTGATGGGGTAGCCTTTTTGTAGCTTGCCTTGCCTTTTAAATGATAGAATCGTCCTTGCACGATCTAAAAAAGATGTAGGATTCTGGGTCGTAGACTAAAGGTCTGTTTCTACACGGCAGAGCTCTCCTGGCACCGAGCCGCAGCATTGTGTGGTATAGACTCCTTTTGAAGCACTCATATCTTTACAGACTTTGTTTCTGAAGTAATTCCAGTCTTTGGCTGAAAAACTAATGTGCAGCCTGCTTTCACAAAGAAAAATTTCATCAAGCTCTCTTGTATAAAGATGAAATGTTCCGTGCTCAAACAAGAATCCCGACATTTTAAAATCTTCCACCGCCCATTCAAACTGAGGCGCCCATGCCTTTCGGTCCAGAAAATCAGCCAATGTTGTTGGGGGAAGTCTTCTTTCTGGGAGCCATACTCATTGCAACAGGATCTATAATTATACGTCGTTTTGGAGTCATTACTCCCAATTGATTACCTGTGACGTCCATGATTGTGATGCTGCAAAGATGGTGTAGTGTACAGTGCTTGTGCATTTGACTCATAACAGTTTAAAATAGCACTGTAGCAGCAGGACAGAGGGTCACTGATCTCCTAAGGGGAGAGTAGTGATTGGTGGTTATGTAGGGACTGAACCCTTCTATAGAATTTGACCTCTAACCCCTTGTTTTGTTACCTCAGAATAGTGTTGTACCCTTCTATGGGTTGGAGCTTTATTTTGCAGACTCAAACCCCTCTATGGTATCTTACAGATACCTAAACATATCCTATATAAGCTATGTTTGATGTACAGAGAGACAGAGTGGTCATCGGGCTGGGTCACTCTCCAAGCTGCTGCAGAGCTTGTAATTGATGCTGAACTCTTTGATTTAATAAACTTTTATGATCAAGAACAGTGTCAAGTGGATTTCTTCTCAACACATCATCGCAGCATTATTGTTTGGACACCACAATGGCGTTGTTGTTCTGCACGAAGATAGCTCTGTCCGATACGGATTCAACCAAAAAAATCGTTCAGTCACTCTGTTCCATGCTCTCGGTCAGATGTAAGTCAAAAAACTAGCCCGCTATATATACAACCGATTACTAAAGCCACTCCCAAACATCCGCTTTTAGAGGCTAACACCGGACATCCCAAATACACAAACCCCCCTTTTCACACCTGTCTTCACCTTTTGGAGATCGACCCCACCCCCACTAATAGAGGATGAGGCCAGACACGCCCTAATACAAACACCCATTTTCACACCTGGCCTTTATTTACTACTTATTTGGATCCTGGATTGGCCTGAAAGCTGAAGATGGGAAATGGAAGTGATCTGACTGAAAAGCGAGAGACACATTCATAAACATTTTGAACCATAAAATCTATCATCCTCCATCTAAACATCATGTTCTTCATTCAGCTCCTGGATACAACAACAATGTCCTATCAACGGTCAGTGTTACAGTATGGAAATCAGTGAGCTGTGGTGCCAGAAACAGATGGATCTGCAAAAAGAAGGCTTTATCTCTTTAAACACTGCAGTCATACTTGAGAAGGTTACTGGGTACTCTGCAATGATTCATTACATGGAAGATAATATCAACTGGCTTATAAATAATTGTGAAAACTACTTTATAATGTTCATTTTCTTGTTTTTCAAAAACTAATTTTAATTATAGAAAAATTTATTCAGAATAAATTATTTTATAAACCTGTTTGTCTATGTGCTGTGTGAGTGTCACTGAAAGAAAACAGACACTCAGATCTAATGTAGTTGGAAATTGGATTATGATGGCACTGTGAGTCTGACTACTGACACCAGCATTTAGGAAAATACAGTCACTGGCCTAAAGAAGAATTGTTACATTTAAATGATAAATTTATTAATGAAATGATTAATAACTTTGAATGTAATTTTCTTCTGTTTTGTTAGATATGCAGTGTACCAGCAGAGTGATGAAAGGGACCAACAAGACTGCTCAGTTTCCTGTTTCCTGTGTGACAGTTTACATTTTTACTAACTGTCCAACAGGAGGCGCTGCAGTACTTGTTATCAAGAGAATGTTCCAGGGTCTGGTTACTATTTGTGTTCTGATACACACAGATCAGCCAGAACATTATGACCACTGACAGGTGAAGTGAACTGCACTCATCATCTCGTTACCATGGCGCCTGTCAGTGGGTGGGATATATTAGGCAGCAAGTTTAACATTTTGTCCAGGGTCAGAGGATCTCTGAAACTGCAGCTCTTGTGGGGTTTTCCTGGTCTGCAGTGGTCAGTACCTACTGAAAGTGGTCGACAAAAGGAAATCATGGGCAGCTTCACTGATGCGCGTGGGGAGCAAAGGCTGGCCCGTGTGTTCTGATCGAAAAGATGAGCTACTGAAGGTCAAATTACTGAAAAAGTTAATGCTGATTCTGATAAAAAAAAAAAGTGACAGAACACACAATGCATCACAATGGATTTTGTATAGCCAGTCAGGGTGCCCACGCTGACCCTGGTCCACTGCCCTACAATGGGCAACTGAGAATCAGAACTGGACCATGGAGCAAGGAAAGAAGGCGGTCTGGTCTGATGAATCACATTTGCTTTTGCATTAGGTTGATGGCCAGGTGCTTGTAAGTCGCTTATCTGGGAACACATGGCACCAGATGCACTGTGGGAAGAAGGCAAGCTGACGGAGGCAGTCTGATGCTTTGACCAATGTCCTGCTGGGAATCCTTGGGTCTTGCCATCTTGTAATGTGGATGTTACTTTACCATGTACCACCTACCTAAGCATTGTTGCAGACCATGTACACCCTTTCATAGAAAAGGTTTCCCTGACGGCAGTGGCCTCTTTCAGCAGGATAATGTGCCCTGCCATAAAAGGACAAATGCTTCAGGAACGGTTTGAGGATCACAACAAGTTCAAGGTGTTGACTCGGCCTCAAATTCCCCAGATCTCAATCGAGCATCTGTGGGATGTGGCGGACAAACACGTCTGATGCATGGAGGCCCTACCTCACATCTTACAGGACTTAAAGGATCTGATGTTAAAGTCCTGGTCTCAGATACCACAGCACACCTTCAGAGGTGTAGTGGAGTCCACGCCTCGACTGGTCAGGGCTGTTATGGCTGCAAAAGGGGGACCTACAGGTGGTCACAATGTTGTTGCTGATTGGTGAATACAATACTTGCAGGTACAGGTGACGGTTATGTGTTATCTGTTTATGTCAAAGCAATCATTAGGTTGGGATAAATAATCAACATAAGTTATCAGTTCTCTGACACCAATATCATAATATGTTCTGTTCTGTTACTGAGGTGCTTTCTTTCTTTCTTGCAGGTCAAACGTTGGCCTCTTTACAGCAGTTTGACTTTAAAACGATGCTGCAGGTGTTAATGTTGCTGAGACGGTGTTAAAAAGACAAAGACTGTACTTTGGTACACATTGTTTCTTCTCAGCTGTGCATAAAACTCTAAACTCAGGCTGTTGTAGAGAATAAATGCAACACATCACTGATTCCTCCTTTGTATAAAATAGCTTTTACATCTTCACCATTTTACATCTTTACATCTCACCTCTTCAGGTAAATATGATGTTTCCGACATATATATCTTTTCAATATTACAGGTATCACAAATATCCGTGGTATAACTGATGATCTTGTTGATATTGTATATCTCTGTGTTTTCATATCTTACACTGTGTCTGCAAGACATTTGCCAACAACCTAATTTATCAAGAACAGCTCTTACACACAGCTCCCCCTCAAAACATGATGTTTTACATTTCTGCAATCGATCTGCTGGTCCAGGTCCTCTTTTTCTGCCTCCAGGCAAAAGGGGAAGTGAAAAAGGAAGGGGTTAAAAAAAAGTATGATAAAACATTCTAACAGTGAAGTAAATGTCTTATTCTGACGTGAAGGATTGTATCTTTGTGCTTCTGTTAGTCATATTCTGTGGGTTGATCAAATGTTATGAGAATAACGTCTTGTTCTATTTTGCTGAAAATTACAACAATGTTGTTATTATACAGTTGCACAAGTTAATACTTTAACTTAAGATCTTATTAAAATACATCATACACTGTAAGACATTGCATGTTTCATTCAAAAACTAAAAAAAACTAGGCTAAACCTGTGGTTCTTGTTTTGGTTTTCATGTCAAGGACCCCCAAACTGACAAATTAGAGCACAGACCCCATTTGATAAGATTATGTCCCAGGATTCCCCATCTGATAGGATTTTGGTGTTTAGATGTTTTCTTACAGAAAGAGTATAAAAACCCATGACCAAAATCGTCATATGTTCTGTAACTGTGTTACTTATGGATGGAATAATAGTGAAAACAAACAACCTGTTCTCATGCTCAGGCGTCACATATACACGCTTTGGAAAAGCCGTGTCTATTGTACACAAATTTGTGCATGTATGGTGGACGCCCCCAGGTACGTGTGTATGAGACGCCCCGGGGTGACTAGCTAGCTAGCTAGCTAGCGATGTTTTTGTTTAAGGAGTTGACAGCCCCCTGAGGCAACTTCCCTAACCTCAACCATGGCATTAGTTAGGGCCTAAACCTAAGTCAGTAAATATATGCATGTCGACAGGCTAACCCTACAGCTGTGCACACGGCCGATGTGCTAGCAGGTAGGGTTAACCTCCTTTGTGTTGCAACGCTATTGCAAACTGTAGCGTATCATATACACGCAAAATCGTTGTTTTGTGTACAATAGACACGACTTTTCCAAAGCGTGTATATGTGATGCATGAGATGCGATCGGGTTGAGATAGTATGATTTGTATATTACTCAGGGTAACCAAAATTATTGTGTTTTCTTATATTGATCTCTGATTTATTTTATAGGTAGAAGTTTATATGTTGGTCTATCATTTATTAAACTAGAAAAAACTTTATTAAACTTTTGGAGAAGGGCAGTTACAGGGGGTCTCTGCATGATCAGATAAGGAGACTGGAACAGGAAAACAGGCAGATGGGGGAGGGAGAGGGCTGGACTGGGACAAAAAAATCGGCCCTGACATTTTTGGCCGAGACGGCCCACCGAAATCGGTCAGACACCCCTCGCCAATACACTCGGTCCATTCGGTGTGATGAAACATTGACTTTTGCACAAGATTGGTAAGAGTATATTTTAATAGACCTAATAGAAATATTGAATAGGGGGGTCTAGTGGTTCTCCTCCAGAAGATTTTGAGCATTAATTGCATTCTAGAGACATTTTCTGCACCAATTTGTGGTAGAAATGTCATTTTTATAAAGGGAAGCACAAAGTTCAGGTGGCAGGTGACAATTCACAATGTAAAAATATCATAAAATGTTATGCAGTAATCAGTAGCTTATTATTATTTTTGCTTAACAAATGCTTTCAAAAAGTGATGGCTACATGTCCCCAGTGTATATGACCCTTCCTCCCTGCAGGTTGAGCTACTCCATGCTTACCGCTTCACCTCCATTCTCCTCCTGCTCTCTCTCTCACTCTGCTCACTTTGTGACTCCTCTTCTGCCCAGCTCTTTTACTCCTGATGTTGAAGCTCCTGCTGTTATGGTTTGGCTTCGCCTTCCCCTCTTTTCCTTGTGTTCCCAGTGTTTCCCTCTGTCAGTCGTGTCTGCCTTGTCCTGTCTGTGTGTGTATGGGCGTGTCCGGGCCTGGCTCAGCTCCACCTGCAGCGCTCTGCACCTGTGGCTCATCACCCTCATCAACTCCTGCAGTCTTAAGCTCTGGTTCAGCTCCCACTCGTCGCCAGTTCGTCACTTTACCTACAGTGGTATATTGCTCCGGCCACTCTACATATTTTGTTGAGTACTTCCTGCGATCTCCCCTAACGTCTTGTTTTTTCGTCTCACAGTTACCCCGTGTGCGGAGTCGCTGCCTATCTGCTCTCAGCCCGCTTGCCTGTCTGTCCGCCCGGACAGAAACCAGAAACACCGTCGTCGGATTCTCTCCGTGCCTGGAAATCCCCGCTACCTCTCCAACCCTTTGGCTCTCTCTCTGTGCACATTAATAAATTCAGCCTGTGTCCTCATACCATTGCGTCCGCACTTGAATCCTTTTCAGTGGAACCTAACACCTGCAGCACCAGCCGCAAACAAACATATCGCTTATTTTCGCGCATTTGGCAACAGCCATCTGAAGAATGGGCTGTAATGCAAGAAACAGAGAGCTGAGGGGGTGGGGGCTAGTAAGAGATGTGATTGGGCCAGCCCAATGTTAGTATAGAAAATTACCCAATGGGCCGCTGTCCATGCTTTATGGGTCGATCGTGATTCGTGGAGTCGGAGAACGAAACATTGGGGTCAGAGGACGTGGGCCAATCATCCACTGACCTACACTTTTTATGACTTGAAGATGTATACTGGGTCAGGGAGAGATAGCGAGTCAGACTTCATGAACTGACCCAGCTTGTTGGTGGTCAGGGAAAGGAAGAATCAAAACCCAGAGCTCTGGAAGCTTTATTCATTTACTTGTAATAAAACTGATTAACAGAACACGCAGGACCAAGGACTACACATAGTTTAAAAAGGGTAATTTAAAGTCATGCTCCAACACTAGCCTATAAAGAAAATATAGT